TAATTATTTCCCTGTTTATCAAGCAAATCTCAACCTTCCAAATCAAGAAGTTCATGTGCCTCAACTACACCAAATAAAATTCTAAAAAGTAAAAAAAAAAAAGATTAGAAAATGAAGGAAAAGTTGGTGGACACTCCACCAAATCAAATTCTCTTTTTGACTTTCCACATCCATCATCATCTTAACATCATCATCGTCCCATTTCGACATCATCATCATCATTCAGCTTTATAAATAGAGTAGAGGAGGAAGGAAAGAAGGGGGGGAGAGAGAGAGAGAGGCTTGGAGGAGAAAAATTGAAGAAGGGAAGAAATGAGTAGGGCGAGAGTTAGAGAGTAAAAAAAAAAAAAGGGTTGCTGAGTGAAAATAAAAAAAATGTGTTAGGCATTTTGATTTCTTTTTAAAGCACAAAAGTGGATACTCGTGTATGTTGTGTATCAAAATAAACAATATTTATATTATCTATTTACTTCCTTTATTCCATCCAAACTAATTTATGTTATTTCATTTTTATTCATTTTATCATACGGTTGGCTCATTTTTCCTACGAAAGAAAATATCATAAATGCAAGTGTGCCAGCAAGGATTAAAAAATCCTTACAGATTAAATTCAAGCCAATTATCAAGTGATTGTGTTGGCGGTTCTTTTGTCTCTACGAAGAAAACTTCAAAGTTGCCAAGTATAGGGAAAAGAAAAATTAAAAAGAGGGAGACGGAGAAAAATGATTGAGTGAACAATTGGGGTGATTAAGTGAACAATCAAAGTAACCATTAATTACCTCTACTCCTATGCTTTGAAAATGAAGTGCATAAAATAAAGTGCATGAAATATAAATCTATATTAAACTACTCCTAAGATAAGGAAAATGACAAGAAAAATAGAATCAATTGTCTTTGATTTCAGTTGGTTCCTTTACAATGTAACAATGAATGGCTATTTATAGGCAAACATTTGTAGGAAAAAACTCCCTAAAACTACCAACTCTTCCACCTCCTCCATTTCATACTCTATGATCTTTCATAACTTCCTTCAACCTCCATTTCATACTCCATGTTCTCCACTTTGTTCTCCATCATTTTTCCACATTTCATAACTTCTCATAACCTTCAAATGAGTAAGAGGGTGCCACATGTCCAGTAATTATATAAATAATAAATAATAAAATTGTAAATTTATGGTGCCAACACATACTTATGTCATCATTCTATTATTTATACGTGTGCATATGTTTATCATAATATACACATGTATATATTTTGGTAGAATTACCCCCTATATATACATGTATATAAAAAAAAAATAAAAAAATAATATTTACCATAATATTCATGCATATATACATTTTGGTGGAATTGCCCCTATACATATATACATGAATGTATATATTAAATATTATTTATTATAACATGTGTGTGTTTATATATTTTAGTGAAATTACCCCCTATATATACATGTATATAAATAAAAAATGAATAAATAATATTTACCACAACATGCATGTATATATATTTTGGTGGAATTGCTCCCTACACATATATACATGCATGTATTAAATAAATATTATTTATAATATATGTGTGTATATACATTTTGTTGGAATTGACCCCTTTATGTAGATACATATACTTATGCACACAACTATGTAAAAATAATACCCGTATATATATTTGGCAGAAATTAACCCTTCCGTATATATATGTGCATGAGTATGTATATATACACACACATATATATAAATATATTCTTATCATCATAAATATTTTTAAAGGTAGATCCATCCACAAAGAAATCAATAGATTTGGATCGTAAGGGCGGTGTAGGGTGCCTAACACCTTTCCTACTCGTAACAATAGACCCGAATTCATCTCTGGATTTTTAAAGACCAAAATGGAAGTCACCATCAAATTCAAATTTTTGTAAAATATGTAGCCAAAATATGATTGCAAATTCACTAGGTTTCTTGCACTAATACCTCTCAACAAAATGATGTTGCTGAACGCAAAAATCGCTATCTCCTTGATGTCGCCCGTTGTTTATCCTGTGAGATGCGGGTTCCTCGATCCTATTTGAGGGAAGTGGTTCTTATTGCTGTTTATTTGATTAATCGTCTTCCTACCCAAGTTCTTCAAAAGCAAACACCTCTTCAAGTTTTGTTCGAGTTTACCTCTTTTGGGTTCTCTATTTCCCCTAAGACCTTTGGCTGTGTTTGTTTTGTCCATAATCATTCACCCACTTGTGGTAAATTAGATCCTAGGTTTCTTAAGTATGTGCTGCCACACAAAAAAGTTATACGTGTTATCATTCTCCCACTCGCAAATGGTTTGTCTCCATGGATGTCAGTTTCTTTGATTTTCAGCTTTACTTTCCGCCCTCCTCGGTATCACAATCATCCTTTCCGAGGGAGCCTTGGTGTGAAGAGATTTCTGTTCCACTTCCGCTAGTAAGAGCAGATGATGCGCCAGCAGTTGTTGAGGAAAAGGCAACAAGCAAAGTTTATATCAGGGATAAGGACAGACAGCAAGTCCCCTGGATGCAAGAGCCTACTTTCTCTTCTCTACTGCCAACTTCTTCTCTGGATGAGTGTCCAGAGTCACTCCTCTCTCTTGAGAGTCCAGACAATTCTAATTCTAATGCTCTTATTCCTGAGTTTTCAAATCTTGATATTCCCATCGCTATTGAGAAGAGGGTCAGGACATGTACCCAGCATCCTACTACTAATCATGTATCTTATTCTAATCTGTCTTCCTCATATAAAGCCTTTCTGTCTAAAGTGTCTTCTGTGAGTCTACCTACCAATTTTCAGGACGCTCTCTCTATTCTTGAATGGAAACATGTCATGATGGAAGAGATGAGAGCTCTCAATAAGAGTGGCACTTGAGAGTTAGTGGAGCTACCTAGAGGAAAAAATCTAGTTGGGTGTAAGTGGGTGTACACGGTAAAATGTACCCAGCATCCTACTACTAATCATGTATCTTATTCTAATCTGTCTTCCTCATATAAAGCCTTTCTGTCTAAAGTGTCTTCTGTGAGTCTACCTACCAATTTTCAGGACGCTCTCTCTATTCTTGAATGGAAACATGTCATGATGGAAGAGATGAGAGCTCTCAGCAAGAGTGGCACTTGAGAGTTAGTGGAGCTACCTAGAGGAAAAAATCTAGTTGGGTGTAAGTCGGTGTACACGGTAAAACACAAAGTAGATGGTTCCATAGAGCGGTACAAAGCAAAACTGGTTGCTAAGGGCTTTACTCAGACTTATGGGGTAGATTACTAGGAGACATTTGCATTGGTTGCTAAGATGAACTCTGTGAGAATCTTACTCTCTCTTGCTACAAATTTGGATTGGCCACTTCATCAGTTTGATGTGAAGAATGTCTTCCTTCATGAAGACCTCGTAGAGGAGGTTTATATGGATATTCCCCCTGGTTTTGCAGATGCTAAGTCCAAAGGAAAAGTATGCAGGCTCCGAAAGTCGCTTTATGGGTTAAAGCAGTCTCCTAGGGCTTGGTTTGAAAGGGTTGCTCAGGCTATGCTGAAATATGGGTTCAAGCAAAGTCAAGCTGACCACACCCTATTTGTGAAACACTCTTCCCATGGTAAGACCATAACTCTTATTGTCTACGTTGATGATATTGTTATGACAGAAGATGATGTTGAGGAGATTCCTCGTTTGAAGGAATACTTAGCCAAGGAGTTTGAAATCAAAGACTTAGGCAATTTGAATTATTTTTTGGACATTGAAATAGCTCGGTCCAAGGATGACATCTTCATACGTCAATGGAAGTATGTACTTGACTTGCTGAAGGAAACTGACATGCTTGGAGGTAGACCGTGTGATACACCTCTAAACTCGGGCCAGAAACTAAGTGAGAGGGAGATCTAGTGGACAGGGGAGATACCAGAGGCTAGTGGGTAAATTCATATATTTATCTCACTCACGCCCAGACGTTGCTATTGCAGTGAGCATGGTTAGCCAGTTTATGCATGCTCCTAGAACTTTCCATTTAGAGGCAGTTATGAGAATTCTGAGATACCTGAAGGCCTCTCCTAGAAAGGGTCTCTATTTCTCAAAACATGAACATCTCAGCGTGGAAGCATTCACTGATGCGGATTGGGCTGGATCCGTCACTAATAGTCAATTGTCTTCAGGATATTGCACATTTGTTGGAGGCAACCTAGTCATGTGGCGCAGTAAGAAACAGAATGTGGTTGCTAGATCTCGTGCTGAGGCAGAATTCAGGGTTATGGCTCAGGGTGTATATGAGTTACTAAGGATTAGACTATTGTTAGGCGACTTGGGGATACTTCAGACCGATTCCATGAGATTATACTGTGACAACAAGGTTGCAATCAACATAGCTCATAATCTAGTTCAACATGATAAAACTAAGCATGTAGAGATTGATAGACACTTCATTAAGGAAAAACTCACTAGTGGCATCATATGTATTCTATTTGTGAAGACTGGGGACCAACTAGCAGATGTTCTCACCAAGGGATTAGGGAGCAAACCATTTAGTAACATTCTTAACAAGTTGGGTATGAGAGATATCGTTGCATCAGCTTGAGGGGGGGTGTTAAATAGGGGAATAAATATTGTTTCCTTATTGTGTGATTTTATTTCTCTCCTTAATTGATGTAATGGGCTGACCCATAATTTATGCCTTGTGACACTCCTGTAATTACTTATAATTATTTATATGAAAGGGGATGAGGTCTAACTCAAACCCTAACTCTTTCTCGTTTCTAAATCTACACATACCAATTTGACACCTCCTCTGATAAAATCCTAGTTCCGTCCTTGGGTCTACTAACATAAGAATGGGTGGACACTGTGAGAAGACTTTGAGCATACTAAGCGGCTAGGAAACTACCTTTTATATCAACCATATGCAGTAATAGCGTTCCTGAAAGTAATTGACTTACCATTTGCTCTGATCTCAACATTACCAATTATGTGGCTAAACTTGAATATCAATTTTGATGTTCGTTCTCTTTGCAGCTTGCTTTCACAGGATCAACTGATACAGGTAAGATTGTACTCGAATTGGCTGCAAAAAGCAACCTAAAGCCAGTGACATTAGAGCTTGGAGGGAAATCTCCCTTCATTATATGCGAGGATGCTGATATTGATAATGCAGTGGAGCTTGCACACTTTGCTCTCTTCTTTAATCAGGTTTGATCCATAATTTGACCTCAAAATTGGTCTTCTGGCTGGCATGGAAAACATTGACTTCAAATTTTAAGCTATTTTATAGGGACAATGTTGTTGTGCGGGTTCTCGTACATTTGTGCATGAGCGCATATATGACGAGTTCTTGGAGAAAGCAAAGGCACGTGCTATGAAACGTGTCGTTGGTGATCCCTTCAAGAAAGGTGTTGAACAAGGTCCTCAGGTATTGCCCTCTTATGCTGTTGTAGAACATTGAGATTATGAATGTCTAGAGTAAAACATTTTAAAAAAAACTGACATTGGAGAATATAGTCCTTTTTCATATTATTCTCATGTTCCAAAAATTGTATCGGAGCCCCCAGAGCAGTAAAGTAATGTTGTTTGTGAACTTTATTTATATCTCAGATCGACTCGGAACAATTCGAGAAGGTTCTTAGGTACATAAGATCTGGTATTGAAAGCAATGCTACCCTCGAATGTGGTGGTGGAAGGCTAGGCTCCAAAGGATTCTATATCCAACCCACCGTTTTCTCCAATGTTCAGGTATTTTCAGTTGTACTTCTTGTCGTTAATTGTGTTACATATTAGTTGAAGTGACATATTGTGATATTTTTATCAATTAGGATGATATGTTGATAGCACAAGATGAAATCTTTGGTCCGGTGCAGTCCATCTTGAAATTCAAGTGAGTTGCATTACTTCCACTATATCTAGTTATTGAATTCTTTCCTTTTACCTTGCTCTATTAAGAATTTGGACATTGCATAAATATGAAATGATTCACGCTCGGCACCACTGCCGCCACTACTCCACTACTAATACAACCATTAGTACATTAGCTTCAAGGATACAACCATAAGAAAAAGTTTTTTGTAAAAATTTCCTACTCAAACAAACAGTCTCAATTTCATTTTCTATAGCCGTGCAGACTGCAAGTTGGTCATAATAAAATACAGTCATCAGCTGTTTTATCAAATAAAAAACGCAAGTGCATAAAATTTCTTTCCTAGGATGATAATCTTTCAATACTAACCAAACATGAGATCACTTGTTGAAATCCTATGATCAGCCTACATTAGATGAGTGTGCTATGAACATACAAAAAAAAAAAAAATTTAAAGCCCACCCCCAAAAAAAAAAATAAAATAAATAAAATTGAACAACTTGATGAAAATCGTTACAAGTATCATTTGGATAGAAGTTAATGTTTGTGTTATTTCAAATCTTTACAAATATCATTTGGAAAGAAGTTAATGTTTGTGTTATTTCAAACAATCTCTCATACGTTTTGTTCAATACCAGCGACATCGGTGATGTGATTAAGAGGGCAAATACAACGCGCTACGGTCTAGCTGCTGGAGTTTTCACTAGCAATGTGGATACTGCAAACACCATTTCTCGGGCACTGAAGGCCGGGACTGTTTGGGTTAATTGCTTTGATGTCTTTGATGCTGCAATTCCTTTTGGTGGCTATAAGATGAGTGGTATTGGCAGAGAAAAGGGAATCTACAGCCTTAATAATTATTTGCAGGTGAAGGCTGTTGTTACTCCTTTGAAGAATCCAGCGTGGTTGTAATCGCCTATTGCCACCTTGTTCTCATCTTACCCTTCTTTTTATGAATAAATATGCAATATATATTCGGGTTTGCGCTTGAAAAGGGAAAGTGAGAACATTACAGGTATTCATGCTTTGTTTGTGCTTGAATGATCTACTCAATTGTGTAATGCATTGCTGTGAAACTTTGGTATTGGTGATAGAATTTGTTGGGTTCATGAAGAAATTCCGAATTTGGTCCCATGTGATGGAGTTTTGCAGGATGGGATCAATTTCTCTCTTTGAATTTGATTTGGTTTGTTGTGACTTTTCTGTACCTTTTTTTATTTTATTTTTTGGATGACCGGGTGTCCAGATCAGTTTACACGCACCTCGATTAATTGCGAGCCTCAAGCAAAACACCCCTCCACGTGGATTGGAGAAATCCCGGGCCTTTTCTATAACTTTTCAAATAAAACTACATATTAGAGCTATAAAAATGATTGGTAGTGACACAGAATACAAGAGGATTTCTAAAACCCTATTCAGGTTTAACATTCCCACAAATGGTCAAAATTTAGAGCAGAAACAGCCTCAGTGAAATATCTGTTTCTGTAAAAAGAGATAAATTAAATAATTAAGCTAAAGCATAGTCAATGAATATGAATTTAGTTCTCATATATGAAATCCAAGGTTTGTTCAAAGTCAAGCTAAAAACAGTGATGAGTTAGGCTGCCTACTGAATTAGCTGAAGAAATTTGAAAACTTGCATATTATTTTCTCTATTCTATTTCAGGGTAAATTAGACTGTTGGTCTACAAAATATACACTCTAGGTCATTTTAGTTTTTGATATTTTATTTGTATCAATTTGATTTTCAATTTATCTAATTTGTATTTAAATGGTTCTCGTCGTCATTTCTGTCCAATTTTTTTGAGAGGTGTAGGGGATTGAGATCCTCATCAATGGAGATATCCATTGTAATGTATAAGATTATGACATGTCATTAAAATTAAAATTTAAATATGTATAGTCATTAAGTTATTTTGAATTTTTTAATTTTTCAGCGGATTTTAATTTTGAAATGAAAATAAGATGAAGTGGTTCTTTTAAAATCATGTAACAGAGAGGCTCCAAATCCATATACGAGTAGTTTTGTTAAATTTGGACGAATGTTGGACAAAAATGAAATTGGAAATTATTTAAACACAAATTGAATAAATTGTGAACTATTTGACATAATTAAAATATCACATATCAAAACAAAATAGAGTATATTTTTTAAAAATCGACCATGTGTTTGCTAAAAAAAAATGACCATCTATTTAATTAATTATTTTATTTTTGGAAGGGGTAGGGATTGGGGAAAGAGATTTTGGAGCTTGACCCTAAGTGATGAGCTTGGCTGACCGAAGGGATCCAGGGTCAACCGATGGGCCTATGGGCACAGCTTCCACGGGCTCAAAATAGTTTTTTTTTTTTTTAGTTTTTTTTTTTTTTTTTTTTTTTTGGTGTGAATAAGTCATAAATTAAAACGACAAGAGATTACACTAATACCCGGGGCATGTCCTATGCCCTAACAGAAGCTATACAAAACTGCCAACACAGCAAAAAACAAAGCAATACTGCCAACCTGTTCAGTATTGCCAACACAACAAAAATCTGCCACCACTAAAAGATCAGACTATGTATTCACCTGTTCATATCCACCATGGCAATCAATACAAAAATGTCTATGTGTTCAGATTAAAAGATTTTAATATCTTCAGGAATCTCATACAGAATTTATGTTGAATGTGAACATATTTTACATTCTCAACCACCCAAAACAAAGATAAACACAGTACACGAGCAATCCCTAGCGCCGCAAGGGTAGGCTAAAAGAGGTCATATCTGGACAGAAATTAGCACTAGACAAATATATACAAATTAAAATAAAACTTTCTTCACACTTTAGGCGCTCCCAGTAACCATTTGTACTTGCAGCTTCCTTCCAGCAAGGTGCACCCAACTGCCTTTGATTCCCGCAGCCCTAGTGCCCAGCTTTCTTCCACTTTATGTTAATAAAACCTGTCCAATATAGGATATTACTTAAGAACACCTCAAGTAGACAAGGTTGTATTACCATATGTAGTTTTTCCAAATCACAATCACCAACACAGATAACATATATGCTCACATCACTCAACCCTTTATTTAGAAGCTCATAACACTCGGCAAGAAAAAACAAGTACACAATATATAAGCTCTCATCACTTAACCCACACAACGTGGTTTCAACATATACCTTCATAGCCTCCTACACCTGCAAAATAGATAAAGTATGGCTATATATGTAGTATGTTAGAATTAAACTGTATGGGTAGTGACAAGTTGGTAATATAGATGTACTCACATCCTTCAACCCACATTGGTTATAATTTATCTTCATTCTAGCAAACACTGAGCTACACAAGAAATAAATCATTAGAAAACACACAATCTTGCTCACTTTCACTGAACCCACATTTACTGAGCTCCCATTATCCCTCATTCTTCTAGTGTCTCCTTCCATGCCTGTATAGTCTTTTAAGATAGACTAAGGGAGACTCTAGGTGTTCAACAACCATCTGTCAGTAGGGCAGCTTTTCATGTTAGTATACAGAATCGAATCAGGTCTACAATCAATTTAATAACCACCTCTTTTGGAATTAAGGCTTGGTTAAAAATTCTATTATTCCGAGCTAACCACAAATGATTAACAGTAAGTAAACACAAGTATAGAGATAATGGCCTTCAAGGACTTACCTTTGATTTGTTGAGACAAGAAAGTTACCAGATTAGGCCAAGGCAGATTGGACCAAGAAACAACAATCTTAGACTGCAGGCTAGTCCACTCTCTACTATTGGCATTGGAAGAACAAGTGACAATGATCCTCACAATCTCAATTACAAAAAACACAGACTGATGGTTGATCAATGCCAAACAACACAATCCTATCGCCAATGGTAAGTCTGCCTTGGATTGCCATCCAAGTCACAAAGCTAGTCTTTGGGTTATTACAAGGACCCTAGATCAAAGCAGCCTAAGGAACAATGGTAAAAGCTTTCCTCCAAATATTCCAAGTGGAATTGATAGAGAAAGAACCATGCTTATCAGGGGTCCAAATAACCCTATCAATCCCATGGCCACGTTGCAAGGTACCAGGGGTATTATCAGTAAGATCCCTTACCTCCCAAGTATTGGCAATGGGCCACTTCCAAGCTTGGTCATAGACAATCTCCTTAAATTTGGACTCACTATTGAGATTAGTGTCATACATAATTCTCTTCCAAAATTTATCCCTCAAAGAGCCAAAGGGGTGCCAATTATCATACCATAAGAAAGTGTTCAAACCATCCCCAATGACATGCTTGATCATGGGATAAATAATAGGTCTAAGTGCCAAAATCTTCCTCCAAACCCAGGAGGGGTGTAGACCGCCCCAAACGCTCTTCGCGCCCTCCCCTTTTGGAGAGGGTGCGAATTGGGTTCTAGCTACTACAGTTCAGATTCCCGTCATAGTTCTGAATCTAATCTTACAAAGTGCAATGTAAGACTGATAAATCACCAAAGAGTCAAAATCTGGCAATCGGTTTTGGAAAATCGATTTTGAATCAAAAAGCGCCAAATATGGACTGTTTTGCCAGATTACAGAGTCGCCACCTAAATGTTTTGTTTTTGGAAAATTTAGAAAACCCTGACTCGTGGCAAAGGCCACGTGTCCGTCATTACCAAAGTTGCCTCGGCTCGGGAACTTGGGTATGAGAAGGGAAGGTCATAACATGAGCACCCCCGCTCGCCCGATCAAAGGATCGACCTTTACTAAACATGATATGTTGTTTTATAAACACATGCGTTCTTGTTCTGGTTTATTAGAATAGCTTACTATGTGATGCGCATAGCACATAAGTATAGACTCAATCACGAGAATTGGAACAAAACAACTCATGTTTGTTTTTGAAAATGGTTTGAAAGTGCTACTTACAAGTAGGCTAAAACGTGGATTTGCCACCCTCGAGTGGGCTTTAAAACATGATGATTTGCCACCCTCAAGTGGGCTTAAAACATACATTTGATGAATTGTTCCAATTCAGGCAATAAAGCCTTCACCCACGGGCATTCATGCAATTAATCACTTAAGCAAATATCCTCATGGCAAGCATGCTAAACATGGCAACACTCACACTCATGCAAGGATGCTAAAGCGTAAACACTTACAGTGTACTTCGAGCCAAAACAAAAAACTAGTTAGAAATCATGCATGATCCTAGCTATGTTAAATGCTTAATGCAACACATGCAAAATGCAATGAGATAGGCTCGGCTACCTAAGATGACATATGAATGCAACACTTGATAGCATGCTTTGAAACACGTATTCAAGTAGGTATTGAAATATAATGCAGTTTGAATGATACGCCAAGCCCGTGCATGCAAGACAAATAAATAATGCACACATGCAAGCATAAGGTATGCTAATTGAAAAATGCCCTAAAATTAACCATCGAAAGTGGTTAAGTAAAAGGGAGAAAGAAGTGGGGTTGGAAGACATGCATACACACACGCACCCTTATTACAACATTTCGCCCTCTCGAAGGAGGGTCCGAATAAATAAGCTAAGCTAACTACGTTAAGCTAAGCTACTTATTACAAATCAACTAATTAACTAACTATTCTAACTAATTAATTATTACAGACCGAATTGAATTCAAACAATTAGCTATTCTAAGCTAACTAAGTACAATACTCAAATCAAATAATTAGATACAACTAACTAATTAAAGCAAGTAAATCGGCCTCGTGGGTGAGGGAGAGATGCATGCTCGGTTTGCTTCGCCCGGAAAATGCATTGCCTTGCCATGAGTTGTCTCTATTTACACTCGCGGAGATCTCAGAACATCATATGAACTTCCAGGTTGCATCTGCCCCAATACAGGAAGATTTTGGACAATTTTGCTGCAGGTGGCTGACTGGCCACCTCAACTAGTTGGTAGGCTACCTCAACTGGCCAACCGGCCAGTACAAGTGGTCGGTAGGCTAATGCAAGTGGCCGGCCGGCCACTTCTCTTTCCAGAATTCCACTTTTGCTGCAACAGAGAACAATAAAGGCACATCAATGTATTTGCAAGGAAATGTATGTGCAACCACTCTCCTTATCATTTTTCAAGCTCAAAGGAGCGTAGTACTCGGCTCTCAAGCCACCAACCATGCATCTCAAGGCATGATGGCCAAAGAGTCAAGCTTGCACAATGTTAGTGAATGCACAAACAACACAAAGAGCCTCCA